AAGTGGATCTTCATGGAATGAATGGCTAATCAGGCAAGTCTTTGATAGCACTGACAGTGAAGCTATTTTACACATTACATCTCTTCATCCTGACAGACCTGATAGGCTTTATTGGGGACTGGACAGCAAAGGTCAGTTCACCGTGTCAAGTGCCTATAAGCAGCTTTCTAACATTAAACTTGCTATGCTTGTTATCCCTGAAAGTAGCTCCAGTTCTACCATCTCAAAATCAGTACAATGTAGGCTTTGGAAGATTAAGGTTACAGGGAAGCTTAAACACTTCCTCTGGAAGTGTATTACAGGTACTTTACCTGTTGCTCATCTGCTTAGAAAGAGAAAGATCAACATTGACCATATCTGCTCCTTATGTGGAGATTCTTCTGAAACTATTGAGCATGCATTGCTGAGCTGCACAAGAGCCAACAGTGTTTGGGATCTATCTCCTGTATCTTGGGAAGGAATAGCTGATTGCAAAGATTCTTTTGAAGTTTGGTGGTTTAAGATTTGCTCCCTCGACCATTCTGAAGTTGTCGAAGCTAGAATTCAACTCTCTGCGTATATTCTTTGGTGGCTTTGGAAGTCAAGGAACCTGTGGGTGTTTCAAAACTCTATTATGCCAGCAGAAACTGTGGTTAAGGTGGCTCATTCTGACTGGACCCACTATATCTCAGCTCTTGGTCTGTTGGCTTGATTCTTATCTTTCTATTTCTAGTCTTTTTCTTTTTTTTTTTTTTGGAGTTCAGCTCCCTTTCTAGGCTTTTAGTAGTATAAGGTAGTTGTTCTTTCTCCTTTGTTTTTGGTTTCAGTTTGCTTTTCCTCTTGCTGAGGTTCTAGACCACCTATGTGTCTCTCACTTTTTTATTTTCGTATTCCCATTGTACTCTGAACATTGTATTAGGACTATGTCCTCGTTGAGTTTTATGATATTATCTCTGACGTTTTGGAAAAAAAAAAGATACAACACTTGATCTATTAATCAACTAATTAAGAAAAAAATTAATCTATTTTACTTAATATTCAACAAACATATTCTACACTTATGCATATACATATCACCATATTATTTCTATTTATTTAAGATATATGTTTTTGTACTCATATAATAATGAATAATATTGATATTTTTATATGATATAAGTAAAAAAACCAATATGAGTTGATATTTTCATTTAATACACGAGTGTTTAATAATTATGATTAGAAACATGTAGTTTGATAATTTAATTAAAACTCAATGCAATATTTTCATAAAATTAAATTATTTTAGTTTTAGAGTTTTTTTTAAAAAAAAAAACAATTATTCAATATTTTAAAAATATGCTTCTTAATTCAACACCCGTGTGATACACGGGTTATTGTACTAGTATATCATTAATGGTAAGATTGTTTACATAAGAGCGACAAATGTCCTTGTTTTTCTTGTTAATAATATATAGAATTCAATTGGTTTGGTAAGAAATCTTACTTTCTCTAAATCTATGTGAACTTTGTTTTTTTTTTTCTTTTTTAGGACACAACTACGAACATGATTTCAGAACATAGTGCAACATTGCAAAATAGAGATGCAGGTATACTTTGAAGTCTTCCGTGAACTCTTAGGAGAAGATTAATATGGACGAGTAAAAGGATATGTGATATAGTCATACTGTCGTATAACGGTTTATATGACCAACGGTTCGGAAACAACCGAGTCGACTTAGGCAAAGTCGACTCTCTCCACAGGAACTATGATATCTCTGGTCAAGGATCCAGACATCCCTCGGTCGACTTACACGTGTCGACTAGCTACAGTCGATGTCCCCGAAAAGAGGATAAACACATCAGGGCCTACCGACGACTGAAGATGACCCCGTCGACTCAAGTTGGTATACCGAGTCGACTGAGGAAGTCTTGAGGCTTATAGATCTCTGTCGATTTGATACACTTCGATACATCATAAGAAAGATGTTAAGGATAAGAGGAAATCTAAATGCTGACTAGGAAAGGGACGGAATGCGAACCGACCAGGGTATTTTGGACATTTCCAGTAAGTCGGCCAGGGCATTTTGGGAACTTCAGGTAAATGTCTTGCTCCTATATAAATGAGCTGAGGCAACCCCAAAACCCTAACTTCCATTCATTCCATACTCTCCCCCATTACTGTTGCTGCTCTCTCAGAGCAGCTCTCTTCCTCTCTCTCACATACTGACTTGAGCGTCGGAGGCTCTACGCCGGAAACCCCTCCGGCGTTGAGTTCTTGCAGGTTTTCTCGTGGTTCAACAACGGTTCGAAGGCTATCGAGTCAGATCTGAGCTCATTCCCATCGGTTCATTCCAGATCTGGGCGATTTTCCATCGGTTCACTCCAGATCTGAGAGGAGACCCATCAATATGGTTTAGGGGTGACCCCGACACAAGTTGGTGTTGGTCAAAACTTTCACTCAAAAGAGCGACATTCAAACGATCTTGAAAGCATGCAGAAAGAACTTGGTGAGATACAGACCACTTATGAAGCAAAGATAGAGAAGTTGACATTTGATTATGAAAATACAATAGCAAAGTTGAAAGACGACATGGATCGAATGCAAAGGGAATTCTTGGAATTTAGAGAAATAATATCACAGGTAAATATTTTTATATTCATTTCATTATGCTATATAAATTTTCAATTTTTATTATCATATTGTTTGGTGTCTTGACTTCCTGTCTTTTTTTTTTTTTTTTTT